GTTCACCTCGTTTAACAACACATGCGGCATGCGCCACTGTATCTTGAATATTTCAAGTTTAGGCTCCATCGCTGCATTTCCAACGAGACAGTTGTTATCATTGCGCGATCGTATTAAAATCAATTCGTGACGGGCGTTAATCACCACGCGTTGATAATCTTCACAGAATCCCAATAGCATGCTGAGCGGCACACAAAAATTAAAGTCTCCAGTTCCATTGTTCACCACATCCCAGCCGGCATTCTTCAGAGACATCATTTTATCGAACGATGACGAGACATAGGTCTTGAGCGTGCTAGTTATTCCAACATTTCTGGCGCGATCAATCTCCACACCATCGAGTTCATATCGGATCTCGTCGAACATGAACGCGACACAATTATTTCCCAGTACTACATCAGATCCTTCGATTTGATTGGCAGTAGTTAGTTTTCCCTCGATGTACAGAAAACTTTCATGCGGCAACGTATAGAGATCCTGTTGTTGTATTGGTATTCTTATCTCATCACTGTGCCCGAATGTAGTGTTGGCAAACGGATTGTACGAGTGAGTCTCAATCTTGACGATGCGCTCGTCGAAGATTGGCTCTTCGTTGAGATTGAGAATGTCAATCATTGTTTGCGCACTGCGAATCCCAAAGAGGTTAAAAATTCCACGTTCAATACGTTGAGTTTCTTCTTCTTGCAACTAGACGACTGGATATCACCGAATCTCGATGTCGCAGGCTTGGTGGTATCTTTTACAATTTGCTCCGATCCGTTCAGCACGAGCATCTCATGCACACTCGCGCGCGTTATCGCTGTCGTCGGCGTACGTGCAATCTGAGGGTGATTTCTTCTCCGCGAAAGTCGAGCAATTGACTGTTCTGATCCACAACGCGTACCGTTAAATCGGTAATGCTCCGTGCGATGCCTGGCAGGTAAATGATCTGCATCGGCGTTTCCGATATCTTATATCCTGGTGACACGTTCGGCGAAAATTCGTGTATCGTGTGCACAGGCTTGCTGTTGCTGTACGCACCCGCGGTCACGTTGCACTCTACGCGGATAATGTTCACATTGGTAATGTTGATAGGCAGGTCTGATTCATGCCATTTTCGCGGTTGCAGTATACGCGTCGATGAGAATCCCAGTAGCGATCCAATGTTGTTGGGCTTGCTAAAGTTTATTTCAAAGGCGCATTTGATCTCACTTCTCATCGTGTTGTAATTAGCGCGGAGCACAATTGGGTATTCATCGTCTTCGTCGTCACCGTCGTCGCGTTTTTCACCACCATCATTAGGAACCGACGTGGACGTTTCCATGAAAGTGCGCGTTTCAAAAATTCATTTATGGCCTGTAATTCATACGATCCTTCGGGAATTGTAATTTCCGCGTCGTCATAGTAAAATTTATTATTCGAAACATTCACATTCGATATCGTATTGTAAGTCTCAAAGTTCATCAGACCGAGCTCGTAATCGTCGTCGCTCAGGTCTATGGCTGGAAAATAGTTTACAGCGAGCATGCTGCTCTTTCCCGTCAGCGTGAGTGTTAGCGACATGGTGGATGAAAAGCTGTTCAGCGAATACTGACTCCTCGCGACGCCTCGTCAAGCTTTTAAATTCGCACGCGTCAGTCGTCGACCGTTTGGAGAAATCGTAGACACAGCTGTCCGCAGATGCTCTGATCATAGGTCTGATGGGATGTTCGATTATACACAGTCGTTGCATCATCTCCGAAATATCTCACCAATTCTTTAGGCGGTCGGAGATTACCAAAACTGTCGAAATATACCACACGGTTTCCCCTCTTCGCGTACGCTACCCAGTGAGTGCCGGGTCCCGCCGCGTTGTCCAGATTGACGATACCGCTCTCGTTTCGTCGTACTCCGCTTATCGGTAACGCGTTTCGCATAAAAACACCTCTAAAGTACGGTATGTGCACACATTTTGCCATTTGATCCAATTGCACGTTTGTTGTTACACCCGCAGGCATTTTTAATGCTTTTTGACGGTTTTTTTCCTTCCTTGTTTCGTTACACCTCGTCCACGTTTGTATGGAGCGAGATACACTCCGCGACCTTCCATCGCGCGATTATGACGCTGCAACTCCTCAAGTTGACGTTGTGCAGCTTTGCTATCGCTCACAGCCTTCGCCACACCAGCTGCTCCACCGATCATGGATCCGAGCACACCCAATATCGGTAGAAGTGGTAATACACCGCCGCGTTTCGCTACCGGAAGTATTCGCTTCTTTGTTGCTCTTTTCTTCTTTGTTTTCATACCGATCTTTGTCTTGGCTTTCATAGCAGCCCAAACAGCTGTAGCGGCAGCTCTCTCTCCAAGCGTTGAATCTCTGGCGAAAATGCGTTTCCGCGCTCTCTCGGCGAGTACCCTGTCCGCCACGTGTCTCTCAGCGAGTTCGCTACTCCGAGAATATGCAATGTCGTGCTCGCAGCACGTCGCGTCCAATGGATTTATCCCTCGATCGCCTCTCGCCAATCGTTCTTCAAGGCGAGTGCCTGGGCCACAAAACCGGGGATATGTAGCTCAAAAGGAAGCGCGTTTATCGCGCGATTCAGCAGACCGCCGCCACGTTTTACCGCTGCTGCTTCTGCCAACATTCGTAGCAATCCTTGATCATCGGCGCGGGACCGTCGATGTGCGTCCTCTGCCACGGCTGATTGTAATGCTCGTAACAGCGCCGATAAGTCTGAACCTCCGAATCAGTCTTTATACGTTCGGGGAGCTTATCCCACAGGTAGTGTACGTAATCGCCACACACTCGTAACAGAACAGTTTTTGGAATAAACTGCAACTGTTCGACGTTTAAACCACAGATATCGGAAGGACTTGACAGCAGAACAAACATTTTCACTACTGAGCGATTCGTTGTATCGCGCTCGTATAAATAGGTGTCGTCTACTGAACGGTTTCACGCGCCTATAAATAGGCGCTCGATCTCGCCTCCTACATATCAGTGTGAAAAATGAATTTCGTACAGCAACCGTTGAAGATACGCGTTACGAATTGTGACAAGTTACGGTTGATGGGGGACAATGTGGAGAAACGCAAGCATGGTACGCTGCTACCGACTAGTATACGCGCGATCGTGTGCGGTCCCTCGAATTGCGGAAAAG